CATTTGTATGGGGCTTTTTCTTCCGGCAGCTGTAAATGGGCTAGGCTACTATAAAGGGCAGATTGATGAAATTGTCCCCCTTTGTCTGAGTTTGAAAATCAAGCTCCAAAAATGCTTCGAAAGGGCAGTAGAGCCTTAGGAAGCATCTTGGTTACCTTCACCAGCCAAAACAACAGCAACTTACAGATGATTTCTTAATGCTTACAGATGAGTTATTAGCTTGGCATGAGGAAATCATGGCATGAGAGCAAAATTAACATGAATTTAGCACTAAAGAGAGAATTATGTGTTTTGGAGAGTAGAAAGGGTGTCCAAGTAAGAGAGGAAGGGTTTTTAAGTAGGTTTGGCTGAGAGAGAAGGGGGCAAAAAGGAAATTGTGGCTTGGGTGCTTCTTCCGGCAGCTTGATAGTGACTCTGTCACTGTTAGAACAATATGCCAAAAGAGGGAAAACGGGGAAGAAGGGTGAATAATGCACGAAATGGCTGGATTTTGCAAGTAAGAGAGGAAGCTTGTTCTCTGGTTGTGGATGATTTTTGTTAGGTTGAAGATGCCCTATTTATAGCCGCTGGAAGCCATCTTTTCCCAAGAAACCCTAATGGCTTCCATCCCATTTTGCCAAGTTTTTCCCTTCCTTTCTCCCCTCATCCCTTCAATCATCCTATTTTGGTGAAATCTACTCTGCTCTTTCGCACAAAATCAGGAGATTTGGGAGATCAAGGCCTTTTTTCCCGCAGTCTCCCTAGTGATGAATTCCTATTTTCAGATATCTCATTTTCTCCCTTTCTTTTCCTCTTTCATAGTCAGATCTGATAAAAGAAAGAGCTTTAGTATACTTGCTGGTTCGAATGGTGGCTCATTGCGTGCCAATATCTTTTGTTTCTTTGGATGTCTTGCTTGAAAACTTGTTCCTTCCCTCTCAGCAGCCTACGTGGTCTTCCTAGCTCCTTCCAAGGCTTTACCTTTCAGTCAAATGCTGGAGCCTTTGCTGCCCTCTTACTTCTAATTTGTATGAGCTTTCAACCTACCAAACAAATAGGCTAATCTCATCAAATATTGGGCTATATGGGTTAATTTTAGTGGACCATTTTGGTTGGGTTATTTTGGTTGGGTTACTTTGGTTTGGTTATTCTTCCTTTTTGTGCTTACCCATATGTTTGGGCCTAAGAAATGGGCTTGGGTTCCGAGGCTCCCAAGCGACTCGGAACGTCCATTTCTCGGCCCATCAATGGGTCTCATGACAACTTATTACCATCCATACCACAATCCACTCAAGCAAGCTTCGGGCATTTAAGTGGCTTGGGCCCACTTAGGCTTGTAACGTGATTGGGTGTGACATAATAATGTTTTGCATGACATGTAGCTTGACATGTCTTTCAATTATGATGCTTGACAGGATAATTAGCATGGATTTATAGAACTAACGTATTTCACAATCTTAATTTTGATTCCTAGCACGATAGATTATTTATTTGGCATGGCACGCAAAATGTGATTCGTGCACGGTAAATCTTTGCGTGCTCCAAATTGGGTCTTTTCTCAATAATATATTGTTTTGGGCCGAGAATATATTCGGGCCCAATTGTGAATTTTTTGGGCCTCAACACCATTTTAAAATTCTGGGTTTGTCCCTACTCCGATGGCATCTCGGTAGTGTATGTATGAGAAACTCTCATACCCTTGTAGTTTAGACATTGCTTGTATATTTTTTTTAAAAATGTTTTACAATCTTCATGCTCAACTGGTGATTTACCTTCTGAACTTGTACCTAACTTTCGATTGACCCCATATCCTTTTTTTTAAAATATAGAAAATTAAGGATATTAACTTCTTCTCTTTTCGCCAATTCCCCCATGTTGTCTAAATCCTCAACATTTATGAGGGCAAATTGGTCATTTATATGTTAAAATAAAATTTGAAATAATAATCAATAATGATTAGGGGTGGGTATCGGGACTGGAAAATCGAAACACCGAACCGAACCGGTGAAAAAAAATTGGTTGACAAAAAAAGTCAACAAACCGGACCGAACCGATTCCAACCGGTTCCGATTTCGATTTTACACCCCACCGCATCGGACTGGACCGAACTGGACCAGTTATATATGTATTTTTTTATTTTACAAAATTTTAAAATCTATGGTAAACTACAGTAAACCCCTCAACCTATAAGGTCATTTACGAGTTCATACTCGATTTTCGGGACATTTACGAGTACATACTCAACGTCGCGGAAAACCTATAATTTGCCCCCTCCGTTAGCCAAACCGTTAGTGAATTTGTTAAATGTTGATGTGGCAAAAGTGAGACCTATTTTTTAATTGACGTGGCCTTACAGGTGGACAAATAAATAATAAAAAATTATGTATATATTAAAAAATGATTTTTAAATCATTAAAAAATGAAGAAAAAAAAAATATCATCTCTCTTCTCCTACCCAGCCAAACCCTCTCTCCCTCCCAACTCAACCCCACATCTCAGCCACTCCTCTCCCGTCGCCCACCCCCACCCCCAAACCCAACTCTCTTTCTCTCTCATTCTCCTTCCCAACTCACCTCAACTTCTCCAAAAAGCTGTCCAGAAAGCTCATCCTTCTTCTCTAGAAAGTTGTCTGTAACAAAGCTCGTCTATAAAAGAAGAAAAATGGCTTGGGATATTTAATATATGAAAGAGAGAATAGGCCAGGTTCATCCTTTTTGGTGTGAGGAATATTTCTTTACAGAGCTTTGTTTTTGGACGTAAAAGTGAGATCTGGACTTCAAGAATCAATATTGAAACCCATAATCTTTACCCATCTGAGAAATTTGGGATTTGGGTTTTGAATATAAGTCATGGAGTCACAAGATCATGGTGATCAAAGAGAAATCAACAGTGTAAATATATTAAAGGGCAAAACATAAGGAAGAACTAGAAGATTTTGGGCAAGAATTGGACAAAATCTTTACGCTTTTTTCAAAGCACCCATTTTGTTTTTCTTGACGATTTTCACTTCCCAAATCATATTTTTCTCTGAAAACTAGAAAAAGCATCAATGGTAGATTTGACGAAATCGCTATAGGCGCATCGGCAATCTCTTCGGCTTCGGGCTGCATCGTCTTAGTCGGTTTGTGCAGATCGGAGGCTTTTCGTTACGACGATGCTGGCGGTGTTGCTTGGGGATATCATGAAAGTCTCGAACCAAGCATGACAGCGACTACCAGTTTTCCAGATCGGAGGCTTGTGGGTTTGGTGGTGTAGATCGCAGGGGGGGGGGGGGGGGGGTTTGGGGGGTAGGCTAGAGTGAAGATGATGCAACCCGAAGCCGAGGAGAGAGGGAGAGTGTTATGGTCTGGGTTGTCAGAGAGAGAGAGATATTTTTTTTAAAAATAATTTAAACAATGAAATAAATTTTTTAATTAATATTTGGTCCACGTGGAAGTCCAAGTCATCAAAAAAGGGTCCCATTTTTGACATGTCATCATTTAACAGACTAACTAACAGTTTGGCTAACGGATGGGGCAAATTGTAGGTTTTTCGCGACATTGAGTATGTACTCGTAAATATCCCCAAAATCAGGTATGCACTCGTAAATGACCCTATAGGTTAGGGGGTTTACTGTAGTTTACCCTAAAATCTAATGTCATATTTTAAAGGGCAATGATTTCCCCACTCCTATTTTATCCACTGGCACTCCTTTTTTAGTTATATAAAAAAGGAGTGTAAGTGGATAAAATAGGAGAAAAAGGAGTGGGGAAATCACCATTTTATAATCACTATTTTTCCAAGTTCAACTTCAAAAAATTTCTAAATGTATGAATTGAATTATTTGTTAATTTTTAACCCAAAAAAATAAGTTTTTTATTATAATTTTTTTGAATTTTTTTTAAAAATAATAAATTAATAATCCGATTCAAAACCGGAACCGGTCAGAACCAAACCGGTTGGTTTTTGAAATTTTTTTTACCTAAACCGGACCGAACCAGACCGATTAAATAGTACCGGTTTCAATTTCGGTTTGAGGTGAGAACCGGACTGCGCTCCCCCTAATAATAATAGAAATAAAGTTTTTATTTTTTTAAAAAAAAGAGAGAAGGTCATCCTCAGACTAACCACACTTCCTATTAGCCTGTGAATTTTTGCTTACCAATTCCACTTCCTATAATCCTCAGACCAACCCCCTTCTTCCCCAAAATCGAACACATCCCATACAACAACACCAAAACCACCACCATATATTTGAACAAAAAAATCCATATGTACATATTTGGACACAAAAAAATCTATTTGATCAAAAACCGCACAAGGGGCAGATGGGTTGTGGCAAGGTGGGTGATTTTGTGGATGTCGAGGATGGACCTGGGCTTTGGGGGAAGAGAGAGAAAGTGTGTGTGTGATGGTTATGGGGTGGTGGCTGTGGAAGGGTGAGCTGTTGAGAGAGAGAGGGAGGCTGCGATGGGTAAAAGGGTGGTTGTGGGTTGGGGGGTGTGTTGCGAAAGGGGAGGCAACGACGATGGTGAGGGGGGATGGGTTGCGAATTAGTCTTGGGGTAAGTTGCAGGTGGGAAAGGGGTAGTCAAGTTGGGGGAGAAAAAGAGAGAGGGGAGAGGGGGTCTATGGGTATGATGGTTTTTTGTTTTGTTCATTTTTCTTTAATTTTTTTCTAAAAAAATAATTTATTTTTAATGATTTAACAAAAAATTGAATGAAATGTTGATGATTTTGACGGCAGAGGGAAAATTAGCAGAAAAAAAAGTTCATATTCTTAATTTTTCTTTTAAAAAAAGGGATAGAGGGTAAATCAAAAATTAAGAACAAATTCAGGGGCAAATCACCAATTAATCATTTTTATTTTCTTCCTTTAATCTTGTTGTAGAAAAATAACTGAGTCCAATAGCCCACATAGAAACGGGGATGAGTTGGGCTCAGTTTCGTCGGAAAAAAAAAACGAGTTGGGCTCGGCCCGTCAAGTTCCATTTTGTCCACGCGGCGATCTTCTGTGAATAACTAGCTTAACCACCACTTGCACACCAAGCAGCGGGGAAAGTCCAGTTTGCCTCTCTCTCACCAAAGAAACAAAAAAGAGAGAGAGAGCGAGAGAGAGAGAGAGAGAGAGAGTAGGAAGGAAACTTCGCCCAGTTCTACACTTTTCCCTTCCGCTGATTCTACTCAATTGTGCTGCTACTTCTCTTGGGTCTTTCCAAAACCCTATTCCACATCGAATTTTGAGGTCAAAATCTTAGGTTTTCTTTGAAAAGGAAGCAGCAGAGTAGGGGCATGTTGAAATCGGCGGGGAAGAGTGGAGATGGGTCTGGGTCTGGTGGATCGGTGGCTCCTTTTCTGAGGAAATGCTATGAGATGGTGGATGATAACGATGCAGACTCTATAATCTCGTGGAGTGAAACCGGTGACAGCTTTGTGATATGGGACATGACCCAGTTCTCGATTTTATTGTTGCCCAAGTATTTCAAGCACAGCAACTTTTCTAGCTTCATGAGGCAGCTCAATATCTATGTGAGCTTTTCTGGGCAATTTTTTACTTTTTCTTCTATCTCGGTTATTGCATTTTGAGGTTTCTTTTTCATTATATGGAGGCGTTCTTTAGCTGCGTTACAGTTGTGGGTTGAATTGGTTTTTGTCAAATTGTGCTTATATTTATATTGGATTTTTAGACTTTTTTCTTCTTGTTATTATTGCGGCAATCCCAAATATAAATAATAAAAGAAAATTGCGCATTCGTAAATGATTGTAAACTAGAAGAAATCTCTTAAATCAAGTTTTCTTTCTTGCGTAGATGATTAGTTTGCTCTTTTGAGCCTAGACTTGTGCTCAATTGGTCCAAATCAAGTTTCGTATTTCCTTCATTTGGAAGTTTTCTGTGGTTATCCATTTAGGTGGGACTCAAAAGGGAAGGGTCTGTCTAAGGTGTAAGCCTTGGCCATGAGTTAAGACTTTGTAAAATATTTTGAATGGTGAAGTTCTCTTTTCGAAGCCTGATCCGTCTCCCTTCTTTTTGTCTCAGTTGGCCCTGAGCTAATTAAATGGTTGTGCTTCAGTCTCAGTTGCCCAGAAATGCTATATTGAGAAAATAGCAATGTATATAACTATATGCATTGTATATAGTATATAGCTATATGCATATGTATGTATATATCTGCACTACAGGTGCACTTGTGTGATTCTCTGTGAGTGTAAATGTCATGTTATGTTATTTGAATTGTCAACCAATAGTCAAGTATTCAAGAATCTTATTGTTTCAGGGCTTCAGAAAAATAGATTCAGATCGTTGGGTGTTTGCAAATGAAGGGTTTATTCGAGGTCAAAAGCATTTGTTGAAGAATATTTCTAGAAGGAAACATCCTCAGGGCACAGATCAGAGAAAAGCATTACAGCAGAAAGACAATCCTGATGGGCCTTTTGAAAACATTGTTGAAAATGGTCTATGGAGGGAAGTTGAGAACCTGAAGACTGATAAAGTTGCTCTGAAGCAAGAGTTGGTCAAGCTTAGGCAGCACCAGGAAATTTCAGAAAATAACTTGCTCCTCCTGAGGAACCGCCTTCGTGGAATGGAGAAGAATCAGCAGCAGATGCTGTCATTTCTAGTTATGGCCATGCAAAGTCCTGGGTTTTTAGTTCAGCTTCTTCAGCCAAAAGAAAACAGTTGGCGCATTGCTGAACCTGGAAATATGCTAGAACAAGGTGTAGATGATGGTATACCAATAACTTCTGATGGTGCGATAGTGAGATACCAACCTCCTGTGGATGAAGCCCCGAAGCCTATCCTCGCAGCGAATTCAGGCTCAGACAAACAAACTGAATTTGATTCTTATATAGATGGAATGAACGATTTTGTCGTGAATCCTGATTTCATGAAAATGCTAATGGATGAAAAGTTGAGCTCTCTGGAAAATCAAGCCCCATATACCCTACCGGATATATCTGATGATGGTGCATGGGAGCAGCTTCTTTTAGCTAGTCCTTTCTTAGAAGATATTGAAGCTACAAAGGAAGATGGAAAAGAGACTGTTGACTCTAGAATGGAGGTGGAATCAACCGCATCGGAGCTGCAAGAATCACAGAATTTTGATACTTTAATAGAGCAAATGAAGAAATCTCAGAACTTTGCATCGGAATCAACAGTTTATGGATCTAATGTGGAGAGCTCTCAAAACTTGGAACATATAACCGAACAAATGGGATATTTAGCTTCTGACTCTAACAGCAAACGTGGAACACAATCAGGAAAGTGAGAGCTTCTTTTGGGATACCTCATACATGTAACGCTCTTTCTCAGTCAACTTAACAAATGTAAGTCGCTTCGCTTCTTATTCTTCAATCAATCTTTTATACTGTCCTAGGAGAATCATATTTTAAATATAATTGAGGCTACCTGGAGTTCTGAAGTAATTTGTGTTGTTGGGTTGCATGCTGTAATTTGAACTATATCTACTTACCTTTCCTTCATTTTGCTTATGGACAGATTTTGGTGGGCGGCATGACCGTTGGGAAGAGTATTTTGCTTGCAGTTTTGCTCTGTTTCTACATGTAATTCGAGTAATTTTCCTGTGAGGTTTAATAGCTGCTTGGTTAAAGAGCATTGGAGAATATATGTCATCTACGCCACTGCAGTGGCCTTGCTTTTTCTTAACTTCTGCAACCTCACTTGGTATAATTTTCTTGTACCAACCTTGTAAATTCACGGGACACCGTTCTCATTTTCTCAATATAAATGAAATACACTTTGCATATGACGTTCTTCTCTCTCTCTCTCTCTCTCTCTCTCTCTCTCTCTCTCTCTCTCTCTCTCATGGCAACTAGAGGCGTTCTCTTATGATATTTATATAGTGCACATGCAATTTGAATATTCGATTTCATTTTTCAAGGTTGTTAGAGATTCTAGGTAACGTCTCTTTTATCTAAGGCTAGTTGTGGTAAGAGGGTTTGGCTTGCTTCCCTCGTTGCTCTGAAGAGGCTTGCCCGCAAATGAAGGTGAAAGTACCATTTTTCTCAAACCATTCCCATCCACAAAGGTACAAAAACTACATAACCTTGTTTTTTTAAAAGAAAAAAACTGCATACTTATTAGATGTCAATAAGGAAGAAACGAAAGTTCATGTAGGATCACGGGATGAAATTATACCGAAAATAAGAAGCAACATTGAAATTTCCATAGGAATAGGAAACACAGAATACAGTAGCATATGATATATAGGAAAGGACGAATGTTCATGGATGGATAGCCTTTGCCAGGCCAAAAGCGGCAGCGGATGCCACGGCTCCGATGAGAGCAGTCTGGAAGGCACTCTGGAAGGGTTTATTGCCGGTAAACTGGCCCTTGGCAAAGCCAAATATTAGCAACGCCCCCAAGGTGACGACAACGGAGGCAACCAAAGCTTCTCTAGCCCTCGGAAAAAAGACGTAAGGAAGGAGGGGCACTGATCCACCCAAAACGTAAGCAATGGCAATGGTGAGGGCGCTGTGCAGTGCTCTTCTTGGATCTGGCTTTTCCAATCCCAGTTCAAACCTGAATCATCATCATCATTTAAATTAAAAATAGCTTGCTTGCTTAATAATGCTAGTTACACAATTAACATAATTCCGAATTCAGAGGAAATAATAAAGATGGAAGTCATGACGGACGGAAAAACATAACCAGGCTGAGGACCACATGGGTTTTGTCCACAATTTCTAAAGTAAGCATTTTCAAAAGAGAAAGAGAAATTGGATTCTATTATTGCATTTGATAAGTGATGGATCTATTCACTTGTCAACTAGTTGGCCCACTGGTGCACAGAAGAGAATATCCACAACACTAACACATTCTCTCCCTATCCTTTATTCATCATTCATCATTCATCATTCATCATTCATCATTCTAATTCTAAAGTTAATTAAATTTGTATTGTTTAGGAATATGAACAACAACTTACTTCATCATGAAATCCACCCACGCTTTGGGATTCTTCCTTAGAGCGTTCACCACAGGCGTATACTCATGTGGCTCTACCCCGTACTCTGCCAGTATCTCTGCTACCTCTGCCGCCTCTGCAATTTTCATATGAATAAACCCCTTCATACTTCATAATTCATATTCAATTCTAACTAAGCATACCAGAGACACACAGAGACTTATAACAAAATAAAAAATCAACCTGTATCAGGAACGTTTACTACTTCCTCTTGTTCTCTCCTCAGCTCCCTCGTATAATGATCAGCCTCGCTTTTCGCCGCCAGATATCTGCGTCAGAAATATTGACAATAACAATAATCTACAATCAACAACCCTAATAATTTTCGCATTTTCTCAGTAACCAAACAAAACAGAAAAAGCGATAAGCAGAATTGAAAGTATACCCGCCGAGTCCCATGGAGATGGCACCGGCAGCGACTTCGGCGATGCCAGCAGTGAGAACGATAGATGACGTGGCATTGGCACCGGAGAGTCCTGCTGCGAGAGCGAAGGGCACGGTAAGACCGTCGGATACGCCGATGATGATGTCACGGACGATCTCTCCAGCGGTGAAGTGTTTCTCTGTGTGCTGACTCAGGAGTGTTTGCTTCTCTGGGTCCAAGGTCCTTGCTTGCCCGCGCCCGTCATTAGCTGCCATTGTAAAACGGAAAGGGTTTTGGAGTCAAGTAACCAAACCCCGGATTTCGGAGCCTTTTATTTATGTTGCTGTCTTTTTGTGTTTAAATTGGGTCTGCTATGCTTTTGCTTGCT